GCTTTCACAATGAAACACACAGCGCCTTCACGACATGGCGGCAGCAACAATACTACAGCGATAATAAAAGTTACACCTTCTTTCGGCGTTTCGGCATTTGCGGCGTTATGCAAATCTTCACATATCGTGACGTAGACATGTGGGGGCGTGTTAGAACGAGCCGTTTTAGGTAGGCGTGGTTGACTCTTTATAAAGAAGTCTTTATAAAGAATATCTCTTTGGATTTGAGACTTTAGTCTTTGCAACTTTACAGATCTTCTTTATGCACGAAGAGCTTGAAACACTTCAAAGAGAATTTAAATCGCATCATATGACCCCTTTAAGCAAATTATAAAAAATAAATAATAACTGTGTGTGTGTGTGTGTGTGCGGTGTGTGATATTTATATTAGAGCATAATACATATTTTATATTATATATAAATATTGCATATTATCAAAGAATCTGAAGAAAAAAATATCACAGTTTCCACAAAAATTTTAAACAGCACAAATATTTTGAACATTCATAATAGTAAGGAATCTTTCAAATCAGCATATTAAAATGATTTCTGAAGGATCATGTGATACTAAAGACTGAAGTAATGGAGAAATTATAAATTAAATTAAATTTAAATTAATTTTAATTCAATTTAATTTAATAAACTTGGATATAGATAAAAATGGGTACACATATATGTGTTAATAATAATAATAATACAATTATACAAATATATTTTTCTTTCTTTCTTTTGTTGTTGTTGTTATTAAATAAAAATAATTTCAGAAAATGCTAAATAGTTTCACGGCTGTTAGAAATGTTCATGGCTGATGAAGTTTCTTAATCTATTTGATTTATTTATGTATTTTTCAGGTGTGACAAACAGTTAATTTTGAACCCCACTGTCTACAGAATAAACAATTATTAAACAATGAAAACAATTTGTGCCACAGCAAGGTGCCCACAAATATGTTGCAGCCCCCATTATGTGTCTCAACAAGTATCTAAACATAATTGAACTAATGATAGCAATTGGCATTTGTTGTTTTTATGCTTTGTATTATATACATTTGCCTTTTTTTTTTCAAAGTGAAACCATTTTAATTTAATGAGCTTGTAGTCAGATGCATAAACCGAGACATCAAAAGCAGACCATTGTGTTACTGCGGGACGAAAGTAATGAACACAGAGATGTATTGCTTACTTTACCTTTTTTAGGCTCATTGCCAGGTCAACAATGACAAATTATCATAAAAAAAAATAAAAAAAACGCAGATCATGCAGTTGTTGTAGAGAGCGGAGACCATAGGACGTGAAGGTTCAAATCTTGTAAAAAGTTTGTGGCTGAATGTTTACTGTAATGCCTTTATGTGTCGTCGTATTTTGTAAGCCTATGTGTTCCCATGACAACCTTGTTCTTAAGAGTCATACTTCATTTATGCTTGTGGGTGTGTGAGAGACAGACAGTTCAAAGGATTTATCATCATTATTTTAGTTCTTAACAAACAAATGGAGAGAGTGTGCTGTAATTACGTACTCGCCATATTTTCCAAATCTAAATGCATAGTCCAGCTGACACAGAACCTACCAAGTGCACAGCATCTTTAATGCAATATGTTTGTTTTACTGTAGTTGTACAGCAGATCTGCTCATGGAAATGTGAATGCTTCCATTAATTAAACATTATCTCCTGCTTTTTACACAAATAAATATTGTTCACCTCAGAGGAGTCAGGGGTTTGGTTCAGTTGTGGTCTAGCATCGCTGGTTCTTCTCATCTAGCCTGAGGCATCTTTATCTTGCCTTGGGGTTTCTGAGCTCTGGGTCTGAGGATTTGAACTTCTCACCTCAGAGATACTGACCCTCAGACTCCACCTGTAGAACTACTGATTGATTCTGGGTCCCCTCCATTTCTAATGGTAGTGTTTTACTTGCTGTGAACTGCTAGCATGAGTTTGTTATGAGGTTCTATTTTAATTTTCAAATGCATTCTGTTATAAAATATCATATTTTTTTCCATTATATTAACCCATCAATATTTATATTTATTTGTAAAACTTTATTTTAGTTTCACATTTGCAATTGTC